AGTCAAGTGCAGTTCCCACCAAAGGAGCCTTCAGTTGGAAGGAAAATTGCGCCCTCTCTTGGTCCTGCTCAGGCCCACAGGCCTTCTAACTTGATGTGCGCGACTGTATCCCCACACTGCAGCCCTAAAAAAATTCCCAGACGTGCGACTAAGGGCTTCTTCTTCTTCTTTCAAGTACTGCAACAACTTCCACTACGGGATATTTTAAGTTGCAGGTGCGTGGTGGTTACCTGACTCTAATACATGTACATGTGGTGGGTGCCTCTTGATAATGATAACGTATCAATACCAAAAAGTTTTGTCCTAAAGGTATAAATATTTGTAGCTTCTCTTATTTCAGCCGGCAAAAGGGCTTCATGTTTTAATATCGTGGGTTTTACTGCCTCAGAGGAGGCATCTTGGTTAAAAAGTTCTTGGGAATAAAAACGAAACGGTCGGACGCGAACTTATAGAGATCATAAATGTATGTTTGGTAAGGGCAGAACAGTTATTCGTATCTTAAAAACATGTCAGGACTAAAAAATTTTATTCAAGCCTTAAAAACATGTTGGTTCAAAAAAATTTCCTTCGAATCTTAAAAACATGTTAGGTCTGTAAAATTTCATCCAAAAAAGATATGTTAGGTACGAAAGATTTCATTTGGCTGTGGAAAATGAATTCAAAAATTCAAAGTACGGTCTGTTTTAAAAAACTTTAGATTAAAAAAAAATGACTTTTAAATTACATGTAATTGCATTACATTTCTCGGAAAACATGTTCTGATTTTTTTTTACTCAAATTCTGCTTCGTAGAGGTCTTGGTTTCCAATCCTATCCGAGTAAGCTTATCAATTTTTTTTCCGTTAGCTGTCGGACAAGCACTATATCGGTACAGTATTTATAAATGTAAACGATGGGTAAGGACAAAAGCCGTAATATAAATTAACATTTCCCTATAAACGCAAAGTACGTTTTGAAACGGGTAATGTTTGTCATCCCTGTGGCATCTACGCACATATACTGTGCATGTACATTACTGAACAAGTTGAAAGCGTCTTAACCATTGGTGCAACATGGACTGCCCCCTTTTGTGTGTGGATACCGCAATTTAGCAAAGATACAAGTAATTCATGTGGGAAAATGCGAGTACTCAACTTGTATTCAATATCGGAAGATGCTGTCCCTTTTCAAGTTTTCCACAAAGCAATAAGTATTTGCCGTCGTCGGCAAAGTTCCAAAACGATATTCTGCCGGTAGGGTTTTTTCAGATTGGTCCATATTTATGACGTCACCGTTGCCGGCAATACCCGTCGATAGCTATGTAATAACGCTGACACTGTGTGTGTGGAGCTCTCCCCAGGAACATACAGCCACTGACACTGGTGCCAGACTCACAGTGCATTGTCACATTATGAACTTGACAGTAGAAACCCCTGCCGTGGCGCACTATGATGCTTACATTTTGTGTTCGAAAATTTCAAATTTCATGACAAGGCTCACTTAAAAAACATTCAGAAAATCTCACACCGATTTCTTCGAAGTCGATAGATTCTAGAAAATTCCTAATTTTCACTCACATATTTAACTATATGAATAAAGAAAGATATTTTTCGGTGCATTATAAAGGAGTTCAATTTTGCTTGAGAAGAGACTCCGAAAATGGGGCAGAAAAAACCTTTCATCAAATCTTTGAAAGAGAAACAGAAACTTGATTATACGATATGCTGTTGATTATATTTCACTTATCGTGAAAATAGTTGAGGTAAAAACACTGCCCTTATTATAGGCAAAAATTAAAAGTAGGCCACGTTAGGGTGCATGCACATCAACAACAGTAAATCCATAAGTATGAAAGAGTCACAACAAGGCTACTGGCAGAATATCGTTTTGGGAACTTTTGCCAGCGACGGCAAAATATCAACTGCCTTTCCACAAAGGAGTGTCCTTTTTTTCTTATCGTTTTCTTGGTCCTGTTGCCAACAAGGCCTGTGGCATCTAAACCATTTTCCTCTGATAATCTTTGCCCATCGTTCTCCGGCGGGAACAGATGAGTGCGATAAAGCGGAGTTTACACATTCCTCCAGGGCAGAGACAACATTCCTTTCCAGCTTCCGGCCACGCCCTTGCCACCTCCCTTTGAGGGGAAGTACGGCTACGTCCGCTACCAAGCTAAGGCGAAAGTGTCATTAATCCGGACACCCTCCAACAAAGACTACAAATGCGAGAGGTTTTTCAGTTTGGTTGGGCCCAGCCTGGATCTCAACCAACATCCACAAACTCTGTTAGGTTACAGTGACCGATGAAGAGTTAATAAGCACAACATTCTGCAAACAGTCAAGCATCTTATCGAAACTGCACACGTATTGATCGTCACTGTTTTCTTAAAAATAAACGAAAAAATATCCAAGCATTTTTTTTTAATACGATAGGTGTTGGATTTACTATACCTCTGGCTCTTGCTTTCGATGCTACGTTGTGAACAGCTCTAAGTGCTATAGTACAGGGATAAGTGTGACATTTTTTCCCCATTATTTTGTACGAGTTGATACAAATCTTTTTTGGTATCATAGAGTGGAGCGAAGCCAAGAGGTGTCCGACTGTTATAATTGAACATACACTCCTGCCATGCTTATCACAGCTGGCCTGCAGAAAACGGGTGATGTTTCCGGCGAAGGCATCTTTGCCACCGGTCACGCGGATAACCATGACGGGGACGACAGATTAAATTTCGAATTAACTCTGTTTCAGGTAATTAACTTGTGTAACACTTAACCTCATCTCGAATTTGTGGAGTAGTAGCTTGGTTTACTTTTACCGCTATTCTTTCATACGTATACAAGGGTTCTTAGATCTGTGCATTACCAAAAACAGTGTTGTATAGTTGGCACGTTATTTCTGCAGGTTGTTAGTTCATATTTAGCTAGTTCAGTATCTCAGATTCTGGTGTTTCAAGTGTTTGTGAGATAGCACAATTTATTAATTGCCACATCAATTTTTAATCATATCTTACCCCCAAAGGTTATCAAGTTCCGATCGAGATGCAATACCAAATCAAAAACGTATTCTCTGAGTCATTTTGAGTCCGGCGTTTCGTGACCAAAGGGTCAAGTGGAAAATTTCACCGTTGGCCCGTTACTGGTGGCCCCGGCACCAGCTGCAGTATCATTGGCATAGAATACGACGTTCAGGTAAGCTGGCAGTAAGATCCTAATGTCAGGAACTCCCCCAAACACGCCCGAACACATTGGCTGCAGAAAACAAACAGCCATGGGACCAGTTTGTCTATAGGGCCAGACCCTGAGCGCGATCAGTGATCCGTCGCTGGTTCACTGACACCAAAACCGGTGGATGGAGCGAACCAGCGATAGGATCACCGATCTAGATCTAGATCAGTGTAAACAAGCTCGCCCATGATGTAAGATTCTTGATCAAAATCATTTGAATCGTAAAGGACCGGAGTGCCGGCTGGGGAGGAGGACCACTCTTTTGCTGCGGAAGCAAAACACTCATCCGATAAAACTGATAAATTGATCAACAATTGACGGCGGTAACTGGGCAATTTCATGTTTTTCAAGCAACTTGGTAATCCTCATTCCCTTCCATCTCTATACTTTAAGTCCGTTGGCCCCCCTCAATTTCCATTTTCATTTTTTTGCCAGGGAGCCTCTCTCCTCGATTTCAATCGTATTACAATCGTTTTACAAGCCAAAACACTTTTCCACTGACTTGAGTAGAGAAGGACAACCTTCCCGTGGAGCTCTACATAGGGTTATTGTTGATTATTCACTTTCAGCCTGGCCATCTTTAATGTGGTAGCCCCTATCATAACAAGACAAAACGTGTAAAGGTATTAATATTTGTATTAATATTAATATTTGTATTAATATTTGTTTTCCAATTCAAAGAGTTTCAGTGTCACTCCAAGAAATAAAATTAGAAATAAAAATGCATACCTTGAAAACATAGCGGTGGTGTTTCTAAAATTCTGGTGCTTGTCATTCTTAAATAAAACGGGCAAGATTGTCTCCTTGAGACATTGGTATTCCCCTCTCTCATATCTGAGTGCTTTTGTAAGTCTCTGTCAAGATGAACATGTCAAACTTTGTTTGCAGACAAACTGACTAAAGAAATAAAAATACATAAAAAGGCCAAGAAATACCTTTTCGTTTGTTTTGATTATTTTTCATCTCGAACGATCTCGTCTCGTTTAAGTGCCGAATTGGCTTATGTATGTTAATTCGATTAACTTGTACCACACTTTCGGTAAGTGTGAACTAAGCTTTTTCAAGATATTTCTTTTCTCATTTATTTTTAAAAACAAAAAATTGTCTGTGTCACGCCAAATGTTTCAAGCATTTTTGGACGCAGATATTTAGTGCATGAAGAAAACAGTATTATTAAGATGTTCCCAACTAATTACGCAGTAACTGGTCGGTACCAACAGAAATGACTCTGTTACTTTTATTTTGGTGTCTTCATTTCTGAGTTTCTTATAGGTGGAAGCCGAAGGACTTAGTGTGGCATTCGATGTACTCATTGGTACCGTGCCTCACCAAATAGCGGGGTGCCTTCCGCCGCTGCCACTGCGCCGCCCACAGGTTTCGAAGGAATGGAACTGTCTGGATTCAACACCGTTCCCTCAAGTGAGGTTATCGGTATTCCTGGAACACATTTATTGCCATTTGAGGCATTGGTTCCTGTGTCAATTATCGCTCTAAATGTTCCATTACAGTCATTGGAAGTCTCCACGAAATCGATAACGCGTGATTACAGTTACTCTCCAAAGCAGTTAGAGCTCTGAATTGTCTTTCACGAATATACTCCTATTTTCTTGGAGTGCTATGTTCATAGCCCCGCCACCGGATGCGCCCCCTCCCCGGTACGAGGAAGCGGTTGGCGTGATAGACCGACTGGCTGGAGAGAGGAGCCCAGAAGATTACTTCGGTGGCAACCAGTTTGTTCCTTGCTATCCCTACTTTAATCTGAATGTTGACGCACCTCCTGTTCATCAGTAAGGAACAGAAAAGGAAAGAAGACAAAAAGTACAATTTTGTTACACTTCAAGAAATGTTTCAAACTCATCTTATTTTTGTATATTATCCACCCTAGGTAAATCATGCTTGTTATGTTTGTTTTACCATGTCTTAGACTTACTTCAATTATTCGCTATACTCGTCATCAAAGTTTCACGTGTCACTGATAAATCTTCTTAACATTAACATTAAGCGCCATCTTGGATTCCACGGGCAATGCTCACACAAGTATAATTCTCTAGGGTTTTGTGAAGCGCATGCGCACTAAACAGTTACATGGGTAGCTAGGCCAGGTGACAGTTGAATAAGCCGGCATGGTTGACCTTTACTTGAAAAAGAGAAAAAAAATAGGGACATGCACGTGTGATGGCGAATGAACAATGATATTTCGACTGTTGGTTGAGACTGTGCATGGTATTGGTGGTGGAGAGGAACGTATAACAAATTCACTGTGGACAACTTTTGGCCCGAAAGACCTTCAGGTACCCTGTTCCGTTTATTCCCAGAGCCAACACGCATTTTCTTTCCACAATGGCTACCTCTGTTGGGTAAAACACTGCCTACGTGTCCTTGTCTTCATTTGGCTTGCGTTGAGTATACATTGAAGAATTTTTATAAATCTACAGTGTATTTGCATATTAATATAGTGCCACGCCCATGGCGTGAATGGCGTTAGATGTCGCCCTGGCCACGTAAATTTGTTTTCATTTGAGGGCCAGGGGCAATTATCATATATGGGCGTGGTTAACTGCAAGCTCGATCACTTTAGTGGACACTTAGAAACTTTAGTTAGAAAGTACATAAACACGAACACATGAAAACATTCTCTTACTGACTAATCCCTCAGTAATTGCATAGGCCTACATGTAGACTGAGCCCTTGCCTTGCTGCTTACAAGTCAAGCGCTCTTCTGGCTGAGCTGCCGTGCAACTGGCCGAGTAAGCAATTTCGGTTGTGTTATGCTTAACGTTTGTCCACCGCATTTAGCCTATGATAATTGCTCCCAACCTTCTTACGACCCTCGTAGGAAAAAATGAGTCCTGGCCTATTTGCCATTGTTTAGGGGGCACTTGTGTACCACACACGTATTGAATGTATGATACGTTTGTTCTTTGAGCTTAATGAGTGGCAGATGAGCTAGTGCCAACTTCACTTTTCATGCTTGTGTTTTCATGTGTGTTACCTAACCCCAAGCTGGCCAGAATGGAATAGGTAGTTGCTTAGAACTGGTTCAAAATTCAGGCATTGTAGCGGTTTGTGCAATAGCAGCTTGTCATGCGTGTTTCTCTCCACAATACGTCAATTCTATAATATCGTAGTAGTTATAGTTCATTGATCAAACTTGTCTCGAGCAAGATTGGAAGGTTTGCATAGTTGACATAGTAATCGTGGGAGGTTTGCATAGTTAACATAGTAATCGTGGGAGGTTTGCATAGTTGACATAGTAATCGTGGGAGGTTTGCATAGTTAACAGTAATCGTGGGAAGTTTGCATAGTTAACATAGTAATCGTGGGAGGTTTGCATAGTTGACATAGTAATCGTGGGAGGTTTGCATAGTT